TAAAAATTCAAGAAAATGTTGCCTTCAAACTATATTACTAAAATAATAAACAAAGGAGTTATAGCACTTTTAATATCACAGGTCAACATGAGTTTCAGATGTAAGTATAATAACACAGTACAACAAAAATTGATTTTTTTTATGCAACAGAGTAACCTAAATTTAAGGATTATGTTGAGAGGATTTCGAAATTTTTATTTTATTTTTTTTTTAACCCTTCGAAATACAGCCGAAAAGGTTTTTTCGTTGAAAGTTGGGTATTTGACGGCCGATTTTTAAAATTAACATGTCATCACATTTCCTTTTAAGCTATGAAGTCGTTTACCCATGGTTAGGTCAGCTAACAAAATTCGCCCCCACAAATTCCTCCAACAGTTTTCTTAGTTGGAAATTTAATCTCACTGCTTTCGTACCAATTTAGGTACATTTTTGCTACGATTTTTCCCAAATTCATACTCTTTGTTTTCGTCGCATCAGCAACCCGGGGAGTGCAAAACTGACGCTGTCAATAGCGAGCTAACCTCTTGTAATTTAATCATGCCAATAAATTTTATAAATTGTGGAAGTCAAAGTAAATAAGTGAGTCAAACCTGTTGTTTCGTATTGATAATAATAATTTATAATTAATACCATAAATTGTGCTGGTGAAATAAAATTAAAAAGTGACTTAACAGTGTGTGCAATTTAAAAATGGCTTTCGTTAAGCGCGATATTGATATTAAAATGTTACCTACGAAACGTGGTGTTATTGAATATTTTTTGTTCCTTAAATATTACGGCTCTGCAAGTGTTCCAAAAAATCGAAGTCTCAATGAATATTTGCCAATAGTTATGAACACAATTTCAAAGTTGTGGCAGCAGGCAAACCCAGGCAAACCCAGGCAGGCAGGCAGTTCTACCCAGATAGTGAACTTACAATGTTTCAATTTTCGGAAAATGAAGTGATAAATATCCCAGGTAAATATCTTCAAACTAAAAACTTCACGGGTCTTATAGTACTTTTAAATCATTTTTTTTTAGAGTTCCTCTGTCATTCCCAGAATACCGAACGGTTTGTGCGTGTTGTTAGTGAGTCTGCAAGTGCTGTCACTGATGAAAAGCGCCTGGGCCACATTTTTTGCAAAATTAGAAAGCCGAGACCAATATAAAAGCCTTGATTCGCGCCAAAATTTGCTTAAGTAGCAATAAATATTGTAAGTGAAATAACTTTTTTGTTGATTATTTTAGTAATATAGTTTGAAGGCAACATTTTCTTGAATTTTTA